CTGAAGTAAAGATAAAAATTAATTTTAGACTTGTTTGGATTTTATTAGGATGGAGTACATGAAATTCCTAATATTCAACTCTTTATAAAATATTATCCATCTCATATAGTTCAACATATTATAATTTTAAAGATAACCACTGAGCACATAGAAATAAAACGTACAGCTACCAAAAATGGAAGAGACAGAAGCAGAATAAAACCTCAATACGAAAAAAAAGTAGATAATAGATGATACCATTAATATAAAACTTTCAACATGAAGAACAAGATAAAATATGGGTTGTGTATACAGATAGATATTTGAAAAGTATAAAGGAAATTCAGGATACTGATGAGGGTGGAGGGAAAGTGATCACACTATGTTTCTAAGTGTTTTTTAAAATTTTTTTAAATGTTTCATTTATTTCTATTTCTGAGAGAGAGAGAGAGAGAGACAGCGTGAGCAGGGGAGGGTCAGAGAGAGTGGGAGACACAGAATGTGAAACAGGCTCCAGGCTCTGAGCTGTCAGCACAGAGCCCGACGCGGGGCTCGAACCCACAAACTGTGAGATCATGACCAAACTGAAGTTGGACGCCTAACCGACTGAGACACCGAGGTGCCCCTCTAAGTGTTTTTTAAATTGGAATATGGGTAATAATTTGCAATGAATTAAACTTATTGTTAAAAGCCATAAAGTTCAAAAGACAAAAAAAAAAGCCCCAATATGTAGTGCTTTCTAATATCTGTGGTGTAAACACTGCCACCATGTTTGATTTTAGATACCAATGTGACATCACTGAATGCAGAGGTAATAAGAGATATACAACAGCATATAAAGCATAGTATCTTCACCATACAGATAACAATAGATGTAAATAACTTCAAGAGCATAGAATGCAGTAAAATAATTAGGAATTAATGAATTTTAAGTATATATTACCTATGTATTAAACTTATTTAAGTTTATGTAATTTAGTTTTTAATAATGGCTATGTCTAAAAACTGGCTTGCATGGGTACCTGGGTGGCTCAGTCAGTTAAGGGTCCAATTCTTAGTTTCCGCTCAGGTCATGATCTCACGAATTGTGAAATCGAGCCCCACATTGGGCTCTGTGCTGACAGTGTGGAACCTGCTTGAGATTCTCTCTCTCCTTCTCTCTCTTTCTCTCTGCCCCTCCTGTTCTCTCTCAAAATAAATAAATAAACTTAAAAAAAAACCTGGCTTACAAAATTCCTGAAAATTTAACAATCAGTTCTCACAAGCCAGTGAAAGCTACGTCCAACATACCACCACACAAGTATGAATCCAAAGTAGTTACTTCTGAGTGACATTGGTGAAAATGTGAAGAACCTCTGAAAATCCTTCTTCATAAAAGCAATGAGACTACTGGCAAAAGTGTAAAAATAAACTTACTCTGTTCTATGGAAGTTAACAAGGTCTCCAAAAATTCAGGATGTATTTATTTTAAAAAACACAGTTGAAAAGTGAGCTTTGTGCAATTTTAACCTGCCCTGTTCCAGGCTACTCCTTCCCTAGTTCTGGGGTAGCCTTAAAAAACAACAACTCACAATCACAGGGAAAAACTACCAGCCTGGAAGTCACGCAAGATGGAATCATCTAATAAAACTCCTTCAAATCTCCTCTCCTAAAGAACTGTCATTCTTTGACCTGTCTGATGGTTCTCTGGAAAACCCAACCCATAGGCTGTCTTTATTTGATCTGACTTGGAGTTTGCCAGTATAAACTTCTTCCTCCCAAAGAAGTTTGTCCAAAATTGCCAGAGACAAATGTTTTACAATGCAGCTGCCCGATGCATTAGATCGCAGGGCAAACAAAAGGTTAACCAAAAAAAAAACTCGAAAGGGAAAACTGGAAAATGAGATCTCCACAGAGGGCTTTGAAAAGCTCTGATATGGGGCACCTGGGTGGCTCAGTCTGTTAAGCGTCTGACTTCAGCTCAGGTCATGATCTCACGGTTCGTGGGTTCGAGCCCCGTGTTGGGCTCTGTGCTGACAGCCAGCTCAGAGCCTGGAGCCTGCTTCAGATTCTGTGTCTACCTCTCTCTCTGACCCTCCCCTGCTCACGCTCTCTCTCTCTCAAAAATAAATAAAACATTAAAAAAAGAAAAGCTCTGATACGAACCTTGGTATTTAAATGGTGATACACATGTCCAGAGTTGTGCAAATGCTCAGGAATGACATGGGAAGGCCCTAAGCTCACCATTCTGGCTAACCTTGAGACTCAGCATAAGCAAGAAATAGGCAGAATTTTAAACTGCCTGGCTGAGTGTTCACTACACACTGAAACTGCAAACAGAGCCCCTCAACAAACCTCTGTCCAATCATTATCTAAGGAAACTATATTCAAAGAAATAAGGAAAGTATAAGGACAATACTTAAAAAAATAGAGAATATCAATAAAGAGAACTTATTTTTTAAGGACAAAAGAGAATTGCTGGAGTTGAAAAATATAATAACTGGAGTTAAAATTTCACTAAAAAGCCTCAACAGGAGGTAGGAATCAGCAAAAGTAAAAAATACAGTAATTGAGATTATTCAGTATGAGTAAAAGGGAAAAAGAATGAAGAAAACGAACAAAAGCCACAGACACCTGAGGGACTACCATCTAAAATACCAATATACTCATAATGGGTATCAAAGGAGAGGAGAGACGGAATGGGCAGAAAGGATGTTTATTTATTTAGTTTTAGCATTTATTTATTTATTTTGGGGATGCAGAGAGAGACAGAGTGTGAGCGAGGGAGGTACAGAGAGAGAGAGGGAGACACAGAATCTGAAGCAGGCTCCAGGCTCCGAGGCATTAGCACAGAGCCTGATGCGGGGCTCGAACTCACAGACTGTGAGATCATGACCGGAGCCAAAGTTGGACACTCAACCGACTGAGCCACCCAGGCGCCCCCAGAAAGGATATTTAAAGAATGACTGAAAATCCCCCCCAATTGGGCAAAACAACAATGCACATATCCAAAAAGCTCAATATATTCCATGTAAGATAAATTCAAAGTGATCCACATGTAGACACATCACAGTGAAACTGTCAAAAACAAAAGACAAGGAATTTTGAAAGCAGCAAGAGAGAGAAATGACCTGTCAAGTTCAAGGAAGAACTTTAACAGTGGGTTTCCCATTAGTAAACAATGAAGCCAAAGAAGCGGGATGACATATTCAAAGGGCTAAGAGAAAAAGACTTAAAAAAATTTTTTTAATGTTTATTTTTGAGAGAGAGAATCAAAGCATGAATGGGAGAGGGCCAGAGAGAGAGGAGACACAGAATCCCAGCAGGCTCAAGTCAGCATAGAGCCCGATGCAGGGCTCAAACCCATGAACCGTGAGATCATGACCTGAGCCAAAGTCGGATGCTTAACTGACGCCACCCAGGCACCCCAAGAAAAAGACCTTTAATCAAGAAAAACGTATCAAGCAAAATTATCCTTCAAAACTGAAGGATCAACTTCCAGCATTACAGCATGACCTCCATAACCTGCTCCAAAATGAAAATTATTAAAGGAAACAAAAACTAAAAATAAAACAAAAAAATCCCCCCATACAAAAACAAAAAACAAATTTTAACTAACCCCCCACCCCCCAAATTGGAAAAAAAGCCACTCAAAGCATTTGGAAATGATTCTAAGAGCAAACAGCAAATGAAGAAACATCTCCTGAGGTGCCTGAGTGGCTTAGTCAGTTAAGCGTCTGACTTTGGCTCAGGTCATGATCTCGCAGTTTGTGGGTTCAAGTCCCACACTGAGCTCTTTACTGTTAGCATGGAGCCTGCTTGGAATCCTGTCTCCCTTTCTCTCTCTGCTCCTCCCCCACTCGCTTGCTCTCTAAATAAATAAATAAACTTAAAAAAAAAAAAAAGAAAACATCTCTTCAGGAAATGTTTATAAATATTTGGTAGGCAAGGTGAGTATCTGTGGTTTTTCACGAAGACTGCTGCCTGCTTCCCCACCCCCAGCCAGTGAGGTAGAGACTCCACTGGATGGCTGCAGCCTAGAACACAGAGCTGTTCCCCTTTCAGCTACCAGCTGGAAGGCCTTATTCTGGGGAGAAACAGGACTCAAGTGTTTCTCATCCTGCTCTCGGCTGACTTTTGCTGAGACTAAGTCCTAAGTGAATGTGGTCAAGAGGTAGGGGCTCCCTTCTTTCCCCCAAACTCTACCGTGGGAGATTCTACCTGGGTACAGCACAATGAGAATCCTGGAGGAAGTACAATACAAGGAAAATTCAAGTTCAAACCACAATGAGATAATGTTTCACATCCGCCCAGATTATACAATCAAAACAAAACAAAACAAAACAAAACAGTACTATGTGTCAGCGAGGAGAAATTTAGAAAAATTGGAACCTTCATAATTCCTAAAATCTTTGTAAAATAACTTGGCAGTTCTCAAAGGATTGAACATAGAATTGTCACATGACCCAGCATTTCCAATCCTAGGTATATATCTAAGAGAATTCAATGCTTCTGTTCACATGAAAAAACTAGCATAAGCACATCTATAGCAATAGAAAGTAGATTAGGGGCTCCTGGCTGGCTTAGTCGGTAGAGCATGTGACTCTTCATCTTGGGGTTGTGAGTTTAAGCCCCAGGTTGAGTGCAGAAATTACTTAAAAAAAAAACAACCTTAAAAAAAGTAGATTAGTAGTGGTAGGAGTTGAGGGGGAAGGAAGAAAGAGGAGTGACTGCTAATGGTTATGAGGTTTTCTTTTGGGGTGGTGAGTATATTCTGGAAGTAGTAGTGGTAAAGTACTGCACAAGCTTATGGCAATAAAAAGTCCATTGAACCACATAATTCAAAAGGGTGAGTTAATGGAACCTGCATTATATCTCTTGGTGGGGAAGTGAGAGGAGGAGGGAGAAAGCAAGGGAGAGGGAAAGGAAGAGGGAGGAGGAAAGGGGAGGGAGGAATAGTTATTTTTCACCTGGACATTATGGCTTAGGAGGTCATCACTTGGTCAGCCTCATGCAGTGTCAACCATACACTAATAGCTTACCTCGGTTCCTGTTTCTCTCCAATCCCACGCCCGACTTCCCCCTGGCCACACTTTGCAGTCCTTATAGGTTTTAGTAGAGCCTTGTACTTTCATTTGCCCCCATGATAGGGAAGCAATTTCAGGGGAGGACATAAGGAACTTAACTGAACTCTGAAATTAAAAGAAAAATATGTTAAGTAAGTTATGAAGTAAGACTGAAACAACTCCAAAATGCAGGAGCTATTCTATATACTATTTTAAAATATAATATTATATACAAAATACAGTAAACCCTGGTCCCCTGTGAGTTAACTTTGTCATTTATGTGGTTGTCACTTCTTCTCTATAGAGGCCTAAAAAGTAAATGTTATTCTTGGGATCCTGAATCATTTAACCATGGAAACTAGATACTACATTACTTCTCTGGGTCTGGGTGGATTTCTTGATATTTTTTGAGAGATAAAATTAAAAGGAGATTTACTTCAGCATGATGGAGTAAGGAGGTTGACACATCCTTTCCCCCAAAAAGTGAGTATAACGCTGTACAGATCTTTCAAAATAATAGCTTGGCACTCTAGAAATAATAATAAAGGCATACTACAAGCTTACTTATGAAAGCCAATGAATTTTGGAGATCAGTAGCATGGCTTGTTGTTCCTGCCTGGGATGGCTGTCATGTCCCCACATCAGTTCTACTGGCACAGCGGTTCCACGTGGTTGAGGTAGAACATGAAAACCAACAACAGTCTTGCTGTTTTGGCCAGAGGAGGCTTGATGGACTTAGACCACCAGAAGTTAAATTGGGGATCTCGGTGGCAAGCAGGCAAATATGGATGGCAGGCAGCTCTGCTTCCTTGATGTTGTGATGGTTTGGGGCAGGCAACGGATTCACAGAGCGGGCAGAATTTAACAGGAATTTCTCAGAGCTGACACAGCTATAGGGGGCTTGATGAGCTCTCCACCTATGCGACATGGACCAACTGAGTATGCGTATCAAAGACAAACTGAGTAGGCCTAACTCATGCAAACATTCGGGCCAGTGGAACCAACAGCACATGCAAAATAGAGAAGCAGGAAAGCTCAAGAGGACTTAGAATGATGTAAAAGCCAGGCAAGGCACGAAAACAACGCTGAACGTACTCCCTAGTGCACACACTGACCCACCAGTAGAGTGAAAGTCTTACTGGTTTGAGGTCTTTCTTTGACTGAATACTAAGCTATGCAGAAAGAGAGGAGACCCCTAGGAAACCAAGCTTAAAAATAAAAACAAGAGGAGAAATGAAAGGAGTGCCTGGCTGGTTCAACTGGAAGAGCATGTGATTCTTGATCTTGAGATCATGAGTTCAAGCCCCATGTTGCATGTAGAGATTACTAAAAAAAAAAGAAGAAATACACTTAAAAAAAAATGAATAGAGGCGTGTGGGTGGCTAAGTCAGTTAAGTGTCTGACTCTTGGTTTCCACTCAGGTCATGATCTCATGGTCCATGAGTTCAAGCCCCGCATCGGGCACGGAGCCTGCTTGGGACCTTCTCTCTCCCTCTCGCTCTCAAAATAAATAAATCAACTAAAAAATAAAATGAATAAAATTAAAAACAGATTTCAGTGGCCACACATTGAATGAGAGACAGAATTTACAGATTTAGTCTCAGCAAGTGACTAAGAACAAACTAAGAACAATAATGGGCAGGGGGAACATCAGAATCCGGGCTTCGTACATTATATTATCTAAAATATTCAGTTTTGGAGCTTCTGGGTGGCTCAGTCAGTTGGGCATCTGACTTCAGTTCAGGTCAGGATCTCATGGTTTGTGGGTCTGAGCCCCGCGTTGGGCTCTGTGCTGATAGCTCAGAGCCTGGAGCCTGCTTAGGATTCTGTGTCTCCCTCTCTCTCTATCTCTTCCCCACTCACACTGTCTCTCTCTCTCTCTCTCTCAAAAGTAAACATTAAAAAAATTTTTTAAATATTCAGTTTTACACAAAAAATTACAAGACATGCAAAGAAACAAAAAATGTGACCCACACTCATGAAATGAAACTGTACCTGAGTGTTCTTGTGTTTGATTTAGCCAAGATTTCAAAGAAATTATTATAAATAAATTTAAATAACTAAAGAAACCATATCTACAGAATTAAACAAAATTATGACAATAACTCAATCAATACAGAATCACAATAAGGACTTTTTTTTTTTAATGTTTTTTATTTATTTCTAGGAGAGAGAGAGAGAGAGACAGCGTGAGCAGGGGAGGGTCAGAGAGAGAGGGAGACACAGACTGAAACAGGCTCCAGGCTCTGAGCTGGCAGTCAGCCCAGAGCCCGACGCGGGGCTCGAACCCACGAACCGCGAGATCATGACCTAAGCGAAAGTCGGACGCTTAACCGACTAAGCCACCCAGGCGCCCCACAATAAGGACATTTCTAAAAAGAATTAAGAATTAAAAATAATAATAATAATAATAATAAATAAAAAGAATTAAGCAGAAATTCTATTATTTACAAATAAAATAACTAAAAAAGAAAAAGATTGTAACAGGGTTCTACAGAGAAACAGAACCAGTAGATTATGCATATTACGACACTTATTTCAAGGAAGTGTCTCATGCAGTTGTGAGGGGTTGGCCCGTCCAAAATGTGTAGGCAGGTTGGCAGGCTGCTAACTCTTGGGAAGAAGTTGTCATTGCATTAACAATGTATTATTTCTTCTTCCTCAAGGAAACCTCAGTTTTGCTTTTAAGGCCTTTTAACTGATCGGATGAGACCTACAAATATTGAGGACAGTTTCCTTTATTTAAAAGTCAACTGACTGTAGATATTAACTGCATCTATTAAACACCATCACAGCAACACTTAGGCCAGGATTTGATTGAATAACTGGGTACTATAGTCTAGCCAAGTGGACATATAAAACTAACCATCACAGTCCACCCCTTGTCAATCTGGCACCTATATACATGTTCTTAAATCATATTTAATCTCCAAATAAGCACAGTAACAAAGTGATACTTATGCCTAACATAACTACTAATTCACTTTTGCAGCTTCAAATACTGAATATCTATTTTTAAAATCTATAGCAAAGTGCATAAACATACTGTTTTAGATGCTGTGGGGGGAAGATACATATTTGTAACACGTAATTCCTGTTCTTAGGAACTAATATTACCCTAGAGAGAACACATCTACAAATAACTATAACTTTTAAGGTAATTTAAGAATATGAAGTAACTTTTGAAAATTGGTATAAGAGAAGTATAATGGATTGTTAAGAATGTAGAAAAAGACTTCTGTGTTTGTTGGCTAGAGCTTCCATAACAAAGTATGGAAGCTTAACTGAGCCACCCAGGTGCCCGTGAAATCATCTTTTTAAATACAGGCATTTACATACAGCGTATTTCTCTTTGAGTAGTGCTTTAGGTGTATCCCCTAAGGTTTGGTTTTTTGTTTTCATTTTTATTTATCTCAAATTATTTTCTAATTTTATGATTTCTTCCTTGAAAAATTGGTTATTTGGGTCTGTGTCACTTAACATCCATATATTAATTAATTTTCCAAATTTTCTTGTTTTTGATTCTGGGTAAATTCCATGTTTGGAGAACATGTTTGGCATAATTTCAACATGTTTAAATTTGCTGGGAGTTTTTTTATGCCCTAGCACATGGTTTATCTTGGAGAATTTTCCATGTGTACTTGAGAAAAATGTGTGTTCAGCTATTGTTGTGCAGTGTCCATAGATGTTTGTTATGTCTAGTTGTTTTGTTGTGTTTTTCAAGTGTATTTCTTTGTTGACATTCCTTTCAGTTGTCCTAGGTGACCATTATTGAAAGTGGCACCTGAGTGGCTCAGTGGGTTAAGTGTCTGACTTCAATTCAGGTCATAATCTCGTGGTTTGTGAGTTCGAGCCCCATGTTGGGCTCTGTGCTGACAGCTCAGGGCCTGGAGCCTGTTTCACATTGTATCTCCCCCTCTCTCTTCCCCTCCCCAACTCATGTTCTGTTTGTCTCTCTCTCTCAAAAATAAACTTTTAAAAGTTAATAAATAAAAAAAAAGAAAGTGGAGTATTGAAGTTTCCAAGTAGTATTGTTGAATTCGCTACTTCTCCTTTCAATTCTGCATCTTGTATATTAGGGCTCTTGATGTATTGACTCCTGGTGGTTTTGATAAACCTCTAGCTTTAGGAAGGAAGCACTGGCCTAGGCTAATGCATTCAGTACATTCTACTTTCACTTTCTACACTGGTCACACTGGCTCATGGTTGAATACAAGAGCTGAGATGGGACCAATCAGTGTAAGTTTGGGGACTTTTGGGGGAGATTCTGAGATACTGAGGCTGGGATGTATAGAATATAGAAAAGTACCTTGAAACTGCTAGCACTCTGAAGGAAATCAGTCTGATAATTCAGCCCATGAGTGGGAAGACAACACAGAGAGAAGTAATGAGAAACAAATTTACAACCTGATTAGACCATACCTCAAGCATGAGCTGGCCTTTTCAATTATGTAAGATAATAAATTTCCTTTATGTTTAAGCCTGTTTGTCTTTTACTTGCATATTAAAGTATTTTGACACAATTTATTTTAATGATTCACCAGATATCCGAATATCATCTTAATAGTACTAAAGAAATACTTCTGCAACCTAGTACTTGTAAAATATTTTTTTAAATTTATTGAGACTGAGAGAAACAGAGCATGAGTGGGGGAGGGGTAAAGAGAGAGGGAGACACAGAATCCAAAACAGGTTCCAGGCTCTGAGCTGTCAGCAGAGAGCCCGACGCAGGGCTCAAACCCACGAACCGTGAGATCATGACCTGAGCTGAAGTCGGCCGCTTAACCGACTGAGCCACTCAGGCGCCACAGTACTTGGAAAACTGATGTGTCTGACATATCATACAATTTTACTGAATGAAAAATATACAATAGCTACTGGATTCATGCTTAGATGTCATCTAGGAGTGTGATATTAAAGCAGAAATTTTACTAAATATCTGTTTCCTTGGTCATAATCAAATGATAAAGATCCCATTTGTTCATTCATTCATTTTCCTCCACATGTAAAGCTAAGGGAATATATTTCAACCTCTTTGTCTAAACCACAGCAACAAATACATTTTGTGTCATAACACACACATCTTCATAAATATTTCTTGCAATGTACTTATCACACTTATCCTTACTATAGGTGATATATTATTTTCTGTTCTACTTTTATTAGCAGTGTTCTATTTTTTTTTCATTTTTAATGTAATTCTGGTCTTGATCCACCACATTGATTTTGAAACCAACTAAAAGGTCGTGACCTATAGTTTAAAAAATAGTGCTATAGGCTAGAGCCATATTCAAAATAAATAATGAGGGCAGCATGTGCACTGCCTACATCAAGATGGGAGTGGAGTGCTGGAATAGGGTTTGCTGTGTCTATACTGAATGTACAGTTGCTAGGAGCTGTTGGAAAGAAAATGGGGTACCAGTGTGTCAGGGGTTACTTAGGAGGCTCAGGGCAGGGGCTCTTCTGCAATTACCATGTAAGTATAGTATCTTAATATTTTAAATGACTGAGCCACCCAGGTGCCCTAAAGTATCTTAATATCTTTTTTTTTTTTTTTTACAAATAGTTTATTGTCAAATTGGTTTTTTTTATTTTTACATATTTTTTTATATTTTTATTTATTTCTAGGAGAGAGACAGACAGTGTGAGCAGGGGAGGGCCAGAGAGAGAGGGAGACACAGACTCTGAAATAGGCTCCAGGCTCTGAGCTGGCAGTCAGCACAGAGCCCGACGCGGGGCCCGAACCCACGAACCGCGAGATCATGACCTAAGCGAAAGTCGGACGCTTAACCGACTAAGCCACCCAGGCGCCCCAAATTGGTTTCCATATAACACCCAGTGCTCATCCCCACAAGTGCCCTCCTCCATGCCCATCTCCTCCCTCCCCCCCCGCATCCATCAGTCCTCATTTTGTTTCTCAGTATTCAAGAGCCTCTCATGGTTTGCCTCTCTCCCTTTCCCCCACCATAGTATCTTAATATCTTAACAGCCAATCCAGCCTTAGTAGTCAATACCAGTCAATATTAGTCTTTGCTGTACAAGATACCAAACTGCATAATGTGATCCCTGCCCTCGATTGTCTAATAGTAAAGTTAAAATATGTAGACACATAGCAACAATATGAGGTATAATACATTGGAATATCCGCAGTTCTACACACTTTTTTTTTTTTTAAGTAAAAATCTTCATCACATCAGAGAAACTAGACTCACCCATGCTATTAAGAGAAAAGATTGATGAATAACTCTTAAGGAAACAATGGTAAGGGACAGCTTGGATGCTCAGTTGAGTATCTGACTCTTGCTTTCAACTCAGGTCATGATCCCAGGCTCGTGGGACTAAGCCCCATGACTGGCTCCACGCTGAGCCTGTTTAGGACTCTCTCTCCCACCCCACCTCTTTCTCTCTCTCTCTCTCTTTCTCTCAATCTCTCCCTCTGCGTCCCTCCCCCACTCCTGCTAGCTTGTTCTCTCTTTCTCTCTAAAGAAAAAAAATATCAGAAGACATTTCTTTTTTTTTTAATATTTTTATTTCTAGGAGAGAGAGAGAGACAGCGTGAGCAGGGGAGGGTCAGAGAGAGAGGGAGTCACAGACTCTGAAACAGGCTCCAGGCTCTGAGCTGGCAGTCAGCACAGGGCCTGACGCGGGGCTCGAACCCGCGAACTGCGAGATCATGACCTAAGCGAAAGTCGGACGCTTAACCGACTAAGCCACCCAGGTGCCCCTATCATAAGACATTTCTAAAAGTGCTTTCTTCAATGATTAGAATTCTGCTACAACACAGAATTCGATTACCATTAGGAAAAAAAATGGCTGGTTTAAATCTTGTTTAAATTACAACTTCTCTTTCTTTTTGTATACTTTCTAATTAAACTATCTTGAAGAACATAGATTCCTATTTGTTGACACTTAATAGCTTTTTCTCTACATATACCATATATACACAAACTTATAGATGTATTCCCTTTTTAAAAAGTAAACTTTATTTAAAAATTTTTTAATATTTATTTATTTTTGAGAGAGACACAGAGTGCAAGCACGGGAGGGGCAGAGAGTGAGAGAGACGCAGAATCTGGAGCAGGCTCCAGGCTCTGAGCTATCAGTACAGAGTCTGACACGGGGCTTGAACCTACAAACTGTAAGATCATGACCTGAGCTGAAGTTGGATGCTTAACCAACTGAGCCACCTAGGTGCCCCTAAAAAGTAAACTTTAAATAAACCTAAGTAAATTTGCTTATGACTGATTAGGAATTCTCCTAACTGACTCCACAACTAAACCCAATTCACCTCAATATACAGTTATCAGGCTTACAATATCTATTTAAAAATATGTGTCACAAATGCAAAGATAATTGCATTCTGTTGTGGAGACAGAAATATGTATTAATTATTCTGTTATAAGGCAGACTTATAATACAATTTGGGATAATAGAGGGAAAAGCCATAAAATTTAAAAATGGAAGCATAATTACACTCAGTTAAGTGCATGGATACTGTTTAGAATTCAAGGAGTTTTGACAATTTATAAACTTGCCAATCAAGATACAGAAATCGATGGGGCGCCTGGGTGGCTTAGTCGGTTAAGCGTCCGACTTTCGCTTAGGTCATGATCTCGCGGTTCGTGGGTTCGAGCCCCGCGTCGGGCTCTGTGCTGACTGTCAGCTCAGAGCCTGGAGCCTGTTTCAGTATGTGACTCCCTCTCTCTCTGACCCTCCCCTGCTCACGCTGTCTCTCTCTCTCTCTCTCCTAGAAATAAATAAAACGTTAAAAGAAAAAAAGATACAGAAATCGAGTTGCCTTGTATACCTTTCTAGCCAATCCCTTTTGAAGCTCAAAAGAAACCAGTATTTTGTTTCTATTTCCCTAGATTAGTTAGACCGTCATATTGCTGGATTTGCACAGTACCTATTCTTTTGTGTCTGTTTCCTTCCACTCAACAGGCTTTGAGATTCACTCATGTTGTAGTACCAAGTATATATTTGTGTGAATAGTAGTCTGTTGTAAGAATCTATCACAATTTATTCATCCATTCTTCTGTTAATGAACATTAGGGTTGTTTCTTACTTTCTGGTATTTTGAATAAACTAGATATTAATTCTGAATGAAAAAAAAGTTTTTCCTCCTAACAGGATGCGAAATATGAACCATCTTAAGAAATTTCTTATTCATAAACAAAGTTAGACTGAGTGTAGGTAATTTAAGCCTTGTTTGAAGGCTTCGTCACTGCAGTGGCAATAAATTAATCACAGATTTTATTTTTTTTAAAGCAGCTCTACCTTTACATTCTAGTCTGATGCATATAACTCAGTTACTTAACTACATACATTGGGATTAGACACTTGCAACCCACAATTTCTCTTGGTCCAAAAAGGCAAGAAGAGATGGTGGTATTATGGGGGTTTGTTATTTATTTTCTTTTCAAGAACAGACTTAGTGAAGGTATGATCTAAATCTTGTAGTAAAACATTTCTTATCTTTTGGGTGTATATAACTCTCTGATGTCCAAGGACTTTGTTCCCATGCCAATCTGGATTAGAAAAGGCAGAAACTCTAACCTTATTTATCAGTCCCTTTTTGAAGACAGTGTAAACACCGAGAAAAGAAAACTAGTACAAGGCTTTCTTTTAGCATGTCATTTTACAACCCATGGAAGAGCAGGAGGTGAGGTGCTGGAAAACCTGAAAGTGAAGACACAGAAAGGCAGGGGTGGGGTTAAGGGTTACAAAACAATATAATTAAAACTTTATTTGGTTTGAAAGTTCTTTCTGTCAGAGTTCCTTTGCAAGTTCCTTTCTCTGCCTTACAAAGATAATAATTTTATTTAATATTGTGTATCTGCCCTTTATTTAAGGTCGATTTAGTAATGACCTTACCAAATTTTTGTCTCTTCCTGCAAAACTGTTGTCAAAGATGTGTTCTGGGTCAGATTTTTCTTAAAATGGTGTCTTTAGATCTCCAGGTCTAGAGATACATATTTGGCAGTTGGAAAGTTCTACCAATATATTTGAATTTCAATTTGTGTTTAAGCAGTATTACTTAAAAAAAGTATTTTACTATACATTAAATGAAACCTTCTCTATATACCATAGACAGTTTCCTAAAATAAGACTTTACTTTCTTGTTTTTTATTTTTTTATTATGGCAAAGTATATATAAAATAAAATTTACCCCTTTTTTATTTTTAAATGTTTTATTTATTTCTAGGAGAGAGAGAGAGACAGCGTGAGCAGGGGAGGGTCAGAGAGAGAGGGAGTCACAGACTCTGAAACAGGCTCCAGGCTCTGAGCTGGCAGTCAGCACAGAGCCCGACGCGGGGCCCGAACCCACGAACTGCGAGATCATGACCTAAGCGAAAGTCAGACGCTTAACCGACTAAGCCACCCAGGCGCCACTAAAATTTACCCCTTTAACTGTTTTTTTTCTTTAAGTAGTCTTCATGCCCAGCATGGAGTCCAACTTGGGGCCTGAACTCACGCCCTGAGATCATGACTGAGCTGAGATAAAGAGTCAGCTGATGTTTCAAAGGGACACATGCACCCCAATGTTTATAGCAGCACTATTGACAATAGCCAAAGTATGGAAAGAGCCCAAATGTCCATCAATGGATGAATGGATAAAGTAGATGTGGTGTATATATACACATACACAATGGAGTATTACTCAGCAATCAAAAAGAATAAAATCTTGCCATTTGCAACTATGTGGATGGAACTCGAGGGTATTATGCTAAGCAAAATAAATCAGTCAGAGAAAGACAAATATCTTATGACTTCACTCATATGAGGACTTTAAGACACAGAACAGATGAACATAAGAGGAGGGAAGCAAAAATAATATAAAAACAGGGAGGGGGACAAAAACATAAGAGACCCTTAAATACGGAGAACAAACAAAGGGTTGCTGGAGGGGTTGTGGGAGGGGGGATGGGCTAAATGGGTGAGGGGCATTAAGGAATCTATTCCTGAAGTCTTTGTTGCACTATATGCTAACTAACTTGGATGTAATTTTTAAAAAATAAGTTAAATAAAAATTCTAAAAAACCCAAGGTAGATTAAAGAAAATGACCTAAAAGTGAGTCATTTTTCTCAAATAAACTGAAATACTATTATCTTAATTCTCAATTCATTTCTGAATATAGAAAGTTATTGAATATTCAAAAGATAAGACTAATGATATTCCACTCTGTCTTGATGGCTATAAAGTAATTCCAAATTTGGCTGCATATTATCACAAACTGAAATAAAATATACTTATAGTAGACCTGATGCACTTTATGTGTGGGCATGAGAGAGAGAGAGAGAGAGAGAGAGAGAGGCATGTAACATCTCTCTCTGTCTTTGGGAAAATAGCCCTCATTCACATCATTTGTTGAGATAGGTTGACTTCCATTAGAGATGTCTAATCAGAGTTCTCCCTGGTATTTCCCCAGAGCCTTAGAAAAATATTTACTTTCTCCAGAATGAAGCTTTGAGGGTCTTGTGAGGACAAAGCTTCTGCTGGCCATTTTCTAGCCTCACAGAAATCTTTATGAAAATGAAGCCAATACAGAGACAGAGAGAGAGATAGAATTCAACCCTGTCAGTAATGTTTAAGTACCTGTAATGAGGTCATACATGAAATTCTAAATTTTTTTGTACACTTATTAGTGTCATTAACAAATTCTTTAGGAATAAAAAGAGTCATTTGATGGAGGTGCCCGTAGTTCAGTAGGTTGAGCCTCTGGCTCTTTATTTTGGCTCAGGCCATGATCTTGTTCATGGGATCTAGCCCTGTGTCTAGCTCTGGGTTCTCAGTGTGGAAACTGCTTGAGATCCTCTCTCCTTCTGTCTGCCCCTCCACCACAAACACTCCCCCCCACCCCATAAATAAACTAAAAAAAAAAAAAAAGTAAAAAGGGGTGTCTGGATAGCTCAGTCAGTTGAACAACTGACACTGGGTTTCAGCTCAGGTCATGATCTCATGGTTAGTGAATGTGAGCTCTGTATTAGGCTCCACACTGACAGTACACAGTGTGCTTGGGATTCTCCTCCCCTCACCCCCCCCCCCCCCCCCCTTGTGCACACTCTCTCTCTCTCAAAGTAAATAAATAAACTTAAAAAATCTTTAAATTAAAAAAAATGAAAAAAAAGTTAGTTGAGATCAAGTCAGNCCACCACAAACACTCCCCCCCACCCCATAAATAAACTAAAAAAAAAAAAAAAGTAAAAAGGGGTGTCTGGATAGCTCAGTCAGTTGAACAACTGACTTTTGTTTTCAGCTCAGGTCATGATCTCATGGTTAGTGAATTTGAGCTCTGTATTTGGTTCCTCACTGACAGTACATAGTGTGCTTGGGATTCTCTTCCCCTCACCCCCCCCCCCCCCCCCTTTTGTGCACACTCTCTCTCTCTCAAAGTAAATAAATAAACTTAAAAAATCTTTAAATTAAAAAAAATGAAAAAAAAGTTAGTTGAGATCAAGTCAGATGTTCAATGGACTGAGCTACTACCCAGGCACCCCTGTTTTCAACTATTTTTAAGTGTATACTTCAGTGGCATAGTCACTGTTGTGTTGCCTTTAATTTTTCACAGCAGTATTTCTTAAAACGTAATGTTCAAGAGTATTTGAGAAATTTCAAAAAACATTTTTCCCTTTAAAAAGAGTTTGTGTAGTAGTCAGGATTATGAGTTAGTATTCTAGGTTATAAATTCCACTTACAATCTAGATTTTCTTTTCCCTCAATAAAAATGAGTGTTTTTCTTTAGATAATGAGAATGATATAGACCATTGTGCTTTTTCCCCTAGAAACACAGAAATTCAATAGTTGTAAGCATTTTCTGTTCCCAATTATGCACCTATACTGTATATCTTTGCCTTCCTTTCATAAATTTTCCTGTTTTACATGGTTTATATTATACATTGTTTCAAATTCTTTTTAAGAAGATATTATGTAAGTTTTAAATGCATGCTGAAAATTCTGGCTCAAAGTAGTAGACTACCTAAATTATGGCTAAATTCAACTGAAATTTTAGAAATTCCTTTGTTCAATAATAGCAACTAACGTTTTAAAAATAGTTACAACGAATGTGCCAGAGATTGTGCTAATCAACTTACTGCAATACATAGTAAAATCCTACGATGTAAGTACTATTATTACCCCCACTTCCCAGAGGTTCAAAGAAATGAAGAATCTTCTGTAATGTCCTGAAGCAGTTCTGTTAGGATCCAAGTCTGGCTGACTTCCAAAGCTCAGGCTCCTAACCATAATGCACGTTGCGTTCCAAGCTGCACATTCTACTTTGCAAGACTGAGATTCTTTGTGGGAAAATGATCACTGCTACCCCCAAAGAAGCGGAACCCTGTCTCCTAACAACTTTTTTGCTCTTGCACCAGGTCGCTATCCCGTCCGTTGTCTTAGTGAATCCTGGTCCCCTACAAAGGTCCTCATTCCTCAAGAGCCCCTCCCCCTCACACCCTGACAACCACAGCAGGGCCCTGTCCCCTCACACCTTGGTCGGCCTTAAGAGCCTGGTCCCTTCAGCCCCCTGATCTTCTAGCAGGGCCCCAATTCCTCAGCAGAGAGGTGATCCCCGCAGAGCCCCGTTCCCTCAGGCCCTGTTTTCCAGTATAGCTACGATTCTTACACCCTAGCAGACAGCAATAACCCTCAGCAAAGCTTCGCTGGCACTTACAAAGGTCCCATCCCAATCCCTAATTAAGAGCACTTCTCTACCTTTCCCCTTCCCAACCTTCTGCCAGAATCGTGCTTTTCGATTCTCCTCTTTTTCCGCTTCTTATTCACTCTCTTCAACTTCCCCCACCATCTGATGGCCGGGATTCAGATCCCGGAGACCCCGCAAAACTCACCCGACGTCCTCCCTTCGCAAGAGTTGCGATCCCAAACGGCTCCGCGCTTTACCTCTCACCTTGGTTCGTTCAGGCCCTCTCGGTTAAGAGCTCACCCCACTCGCCCCGCCCCGAAAAAGCCTTTCAGCCAGTCGTCGTCAGAAGCCCCGCCCCCTCCAAGCCTATTGGCCACCGCTCCTAAAAAGTCCCGCCTCTTCAAGCTTCCAGTCCCCTTCCTTGCCCCGCTTCCCTTGTTTTCATTCCCCCTGTCACACGAGGCTGTGGCAAACCCAAAAGTGGGAGGGGCGAAGTAGAGGGAGGGAAGGGGGGCGGAAAAGGGCGGAAAGTGAAAGGCACAGAGCGCCTCTCTTTCCCTCGTCTGGTTAGGTTCTCGACTGCTCCGAGCAGCCGTTGTATTGTGGGATCGCGGCGCCGTGCCGGAGACGCTCAGATCCGCAGGGGAGCCTACTCACTAGCGCCTCCTGTTGTCCGGAAAGCTGCCCTGCCATTCCTCGGCACCTAACTCCCTCCACCCCCCCATCGCCTCCTCCTCCATCCTCCAGTTCAAAATGGCGGCGGCGGCAGCAGCGGCGGCCGCGATGGCTCCTCCGGGCTGCCCGGGTTCGTGCCCCAACTTCGCCGTAGTCTGCTCCTTCTTGGAGCGCTACGGGCCGCTGCTCGACCTGCCTGAGTTGCCGTTCCCTGAGCTGGAGCGGGTGCTGCAGGCGCCGCCGCCGGACGTCGGCAGTGGAGAAGGTAAGCGAGGGGCCCGAACGCCCGGCGGGAAGCGGCCCTGGAAAGCTCCTTCTCTCCGCTGTTCACGGATATCCCGGGCCTCCGCGGCTCTGTCCTTCCCCTGGGGCGCAGCTCCGCCCGGCCCGGCCTTTCCGCCCAGCCCCCAGGGTCTTGGGCAGTGGGGAGGCGGGGCAGAGACCCCCTAGGGCCACTGGGCCTGGCGCCGAGCGGAGGTGGGGGCGTCGCGGGCTAGGTGTGGGCTGGGGGCGTGGAGGGGGTCATTGTGCTGGTCGGCGGCCCCTGGGACTGCTCCCCGGCGGCAGGGGCTGGTCCTCCACCCCTTCTCCCCCTGGGTGGCGGGGGAAGGGGAGCGCAGGTTCCGGCCAGCTTTGCGCTTTTCTCCTCCTCCCTTGCCTTGCTCCTTCCCCTCCTCCCACCATCCTCCCGACCATCTCGGGGGAGGCTGGGCTCATCTTCTCGGGGCGCCCCTTTCTCTCCCTCCACCTGGGTGGGCGGGGGCCAGCGGACACTTCTGCTCTCCCTCCCTCTAGTGGGAACTCCCCCGAGAGAGTCGGCTCACGTCTCTCTTCCTTTCCCCTCGAGGGCCGGTTTAACCCCCAAAACTCCTTCCTCGGAGTAGGGAGGTTTGCTCCTCCCCCATGGGAGAGGGTCCTTCTCTATTCTCGCTTTGGAGGTGGAAGTCGTTCAGCTTCTCTCCACTTTGGAGGGGAGAGGGTTAATTTTTCCTCCCCCATAGTTTTCCTCCTCCTCCACCCCACCTCCCCCCCAAATAATAGAAAAGCATCTCCCCACTTTTCTAATCCCTTCCCCCTTCATCTTGGCAGCGGGGCTTAGGGGAAGAAGTCGCCCTCCCATTTGCAGGGTGGGGTGGGGTGGTTAGTATGTAGGCTGGAGGAGGGGCTCAGACGGAGGGGGAAACAGTTGAAGAAGGTGCTTGTTGCTCATGTTTCTCTCTCTGGTGCTGCTGGTCTATTATTGGTGTTCGCAAGTGGTGCTCCTTCCACATAAGGCCACCGCGCGGGTGCAGGGCGCATGCTCTGCCCGGCCCCATTGAAACTTCCTGCTGCTGCTGCTGCTCCTGCTGCTGGTGGTGCTTTCGCTGGAGCATCTCCGCTCTGTGCCTGCTGCCTCCGGCCCTTACACTGAGCGCGTACACTCACCCCTTATTTATTCCTGATCCATGGCTCTCCTTTCCTGGCATATTTCTTCCTTCGGAGAAGGGTTTTTTTTTAAATTTTTTTTGTTTTTTCCTTCTCCGTATTCTAAGCATTGCCTTTATCTGGGAACAGCCGTTGGCTGGAGAAGAGACGTTTTCCAGATAGATCTTTTTTGATCCGTATTAGGTGGCTAAAGTGGACGGGGTATTGTATAAGACAGATAGCTGTTTCCTCTCTAGGAAAGCAGGGTTGCTCTTCAATTCTCCATGGAAATGAAGAAGTTTCTGTTAACAGAATGCATTTACATTGCCAAGAGGGATCCGCGTGTGAAGTTTTTCAAAATATTAGCTATGGAGAAAATGATGTTATGACTACCAAAGACTCAAATTAATACAGCATTTATGGTATAGGCAACTATCTCTTCTTACCTGCCCAAATTTACCCTTAAACTCTGGCATGTAAAAAGGTAGTTTTTTTTTTTTTTTAATGTAGTATAAAATAAGAGTGTGATAGCTTACATTGTGTAAAGACTTCCTGCAGAATTTCTTTAGAAGTTAAGTTCCCCAATATAAGTATTTTATTAGGAAATTGTATTTACATTCGAGTTTTAGAGAAGTAGTCCCTGTGAAATAGAATGCCTTAGTAAGTCGCTTTTAGGATACTTTTGGAAATGATAGTAATGTATATATCTGGGAGAAATTGGGAAGTTGGGGAAAGAATTGCTGGTACATTGTTTTTGGAATTTGCTTGGACCAAGTTGAAAGGAAGGCATAGACCTGTGATGGCATTGCATTCTGGGTGGCATACAAGTTTGCTTGCCTTCCATTCCTTTTAAATTTTTGGCCACTGCATTTGGCTTGTTGGTTATCAAAGAAAAAATATCAGGGTCAGTTTACTAGTTCATGTTACATTTCTATCTAGAATTGAACAATGGGCTACAAACTAAATGAAAAATGAGAAATATTCTGGGCTGAGAGATTGTACCAGTGGGCTGAGCCACTGCATTACCATTGGTATAGTTACATCTATAATAATAGATCTTGTCATAATGCAATCTAAGAATAATTATTAACCAATTAATATTACACAGTTCAAGATACTTGGCAAATGAAAAGTCTTGCAGGTGAAATGCCCTTACTGTGCAGGGAAAAGATTTTCAGGCCTTTGATGATAGTTAACCTACTTGGAACAGTTGGATAAAACAATATTGGCCAAACTAACAAGATTTGAACTCAGTCTTTTTAGGAAGGAGTTGTGGTGTACTAGAAGGAGTTAAAAGACATGGGTTTTAGCACTGAACAGTAATATATAAAGTTGTAGGCAAATTACTTAATTTCAATGGACCTCATCTCTTCAGTAAATATAGTTATCGGAAGACCAAATGAAATATTTTCAAAAACGCTTTCATAAACTAAGCCCTTAAAGTATTTTTGTATTACAAATTTTGTTAAAGATGTTTGTGAGAGAGATCTACAAGTATATTTGGAATTACAATGTTAAATTTTGGCATGTTGTAAGAATAGGGGTGTGAGCACAGGTATAATATTGAGCTATTATGCTCTTGGGGAAAAGTCTTTCTTATAATCAAATGAGTTTTGCTCTGTGTAAATTAAACTATTTTTCTTATTTATTTATTTTTTTAATTTTTTAATGTTTTATTTATTTCTGAGAGAGAGAGAGACATCGTGAGCAGGGGAGGGTCAGAGAGAGAGGGAGACACAGAATCTGAAGCAGGCTCTAGGCTCTGAGCTAGCTGTCCCGATGCGGGGCTTGAACCCACGAACTGTGAGATCATGACCTGAGCCAAAGTCGGATGCTTAACTGACTGAGCCACCCAGGCACCCCTTTTTAAAAGTCTGTTCTTAGTGCTACATAAAGAATCCTAGCTTATAAAACTCTTTTTTTCTAGTGTGCTTATCCTTTAAAAGGTGTATTTGAAAGTGTATTCTTCAGAGTTGCCAGTTTAAGACTTTTCACCTAGTCATTTTTTGTGATACGTATAGCAAAGTGATGACATCCTTTGGAGGAATTTGTTGTTCTCTACGTTGTCTTTGTTTAAGCACTTTATGGTCTTTTCCCTGAAAATTTGTTCATAAACTTTTATTTGACATTGTGGCTTTAGTTTAGAATGTTCCCTTTATCCTCCAGAGAGTTAATGACTAAAGTTGATTTATGTTTGAATGATGTGATAATAAGTAGCATTTATTGAGCATTTACTATGTGCAGACACCATCTCATTCCTCACAACTATTCTCTGAGGTTGGTACCATTAGTCCTGTTGGGTAGGCATAGAACTTTCAGGAGTTTGATTCAGCCGCCCTGTGCCCAAATTATATAGTTATTGGTAGAGTCTGATTTCTAACCTAGGTCTATCTGAGGCCAAAGCTAGAAAGTTATATAATAACTTACCATAGGGCCATGTTTCCCAGACTGCACTAAAATACCCCGGGGTATTGCCACCAACTTAGGGAGGCACCAAGTGGTAGTTTAAATTTTCAAGGAAGATACAGTAGTACTTGATGTCTGTTGGTTGCCAGGTAAACTACTACTTGACATAACTGCTGATTTGAACATTAGATTGTGCTGTGTTCCTTTGGATGATGTATCTTTGTTGGGTTGTGCCCGGGGGCGGGGGGGGGGGGTTGCTGTGACAAAACGTAAATCAGTGAGGAACAGGAAATCAGGGTAGCAGTGTCCCATTTGATTCCAAGGTTTAAGAAGTTGTTCATTGCCCAACCATAATATGCATTCTGTAAGTAACTGTGATTATTTAAGAATGAAGTAAAAACATTTTTTTTTCTACATAAGTTTGTCAAATTGCTACTAACAACTTGGTAAGTGGAACTGCTAGTATTTGTTTAGTGTTGCTGTGAAAAAATTAGTAAAACACTGAGGGTGTCATGAACCTAGAAAGCTTGGGAACCTATGCTTTAGAGACTTTCGTTGAATTTGGGGGCTAGAAAGGAGTCCTGTGTCCATTTTGACTTTATTTTGCGGGGAAGAAAACCAGGGAGCAGAGATTGATTACAGATGTGTATAGCCAACCATTGGTGCTCTTCAGACTATTCTTTTTTTTTTTTTAAATAGTTTATTTATTTCTGAGAGAGAGAGACACAGCATGAGCAGGGGAGGGTCAGAGAGAGAGAGGGAGACACAGAATCTGAAACAAGCTCCAGGCTCTGAGCTGGCTGTCAGCACAGAGCCCGACGCGGG